CAGCTCGTCCTGCTGCCGTGACTGCAACGGGCCATACACACCCAGGCTCTATGCGTGGAAGTGCTGGCAATGCTGGAGGCTCCTTAAGATGTAAGAAGGTGCCATTGTGTCTGTGAAGGGTTTGCAACATTTACAGTATTGGAGGGTAGAGAATGTGCCTGAGGAAGTGAGGATTCAGTGTTATAATGATGTTATAATGATAAAGAAGATAAGAATTAGGTGCATTGTCAAGCAGATTTACACATAGGAGGTTTGCTTGTTCAGTGCATCTGTAATAGAATAAAAGAGGACACAGTGCACCACTAAAATACAATATGTAACATGGTTTAATGGAAATTGTCCTTGGTCAAACAAGAATTAAATTATGAGCTTATGGTAAATTGATAAAATCTGCAAATAGATTTGACTTATTTGAGAGTAATAATGTAAACCAAACATTGTCATTTTAAGATGAATGGAATGGTTTACATTAATGCATTAAATTTGATAATTTTTCAGCATGTTCTAAGCTGATTCGTTCTTTATTGTTTTGGAGTTTATATTCATGCTACTCAGAGGCACTGTGAAAGAGAAATCCTCTTTACTGTTGACCTAAACGTGCCTGCTGTGGCGGCCTGTAAAGCTCAGATGAATCTATCAATAGCAAGTAAAATCTTAAATTGCTGCTAGTTTGCGCTGTAGTGTGAATGTGTGTGTTAGCAGACTTTACACATTTCCTCCAACACCGAACACTTGTCTTTTTTTACATTATTTTTTGTAGAACATTTATTTTAAGGGTTTCTACTTGGTTGTGAGTAGAAACCCTTGGGTAAAAAAAAAAGTAGACCATTTTTAAGGCTCCACTGATGAACTGGTTGAATATATTGGCTGTAGGCAAATAATGTAGCATGCACTGAAGTCAGTAGCTGATGCATATCTGCTGTGACACATCAATTTAATCCTGTGCTCTAGTATAACTAACTGATTCAGAATTGAGGTTTATTATTGGGCAGAAGGGGTCACCTGTTGGACCAAGTCTTGATTTTGTTTCATGGTCAAAGGTGAAATAAAATTGTCAGTGGGGGAGTCTTGCACTGTCTCTGGGAAAGATCAGCGACATGAAGTTTGTAAGATGTGTCCCAGTGACATGTCAAGAGGAGGGTCTATAACAACATTTAAATACATTAATGCTTATAGCCCATTTGAAAAACAGACACCAAGAATTACCAAGAGGTTCAAAAAGCTGATTTTGCAAATGGCTCAATTGTTATATAAAATAAAAAAAGACATGCACATCCCTAAGTGGATGCTTGGAAAAAACAAAAACAAATGGGTAAATAGAAGCAAAAAAGATCCGTACAAGTCTTCCAAGTCAGAGGAAGAGCCCATTGGTGTGCAGATTTTTTTTGCTTCTTTCTATTAAATGTTTTAAAAACATCAGTATCCGTGTCCTCATTTTCACAATTTTTGCTCCCCTTTTTCAGGCTTACATGATTTAAAGGGTTTGCCCAAAATCCCATCATATCGGCAATCATAGATTCATTCTGCCAATGCCAAATAGATAACTATTTTATCTGGTATATATTTGGTCAATTCATCTACATACACATAAACTCAATTATTTTTTAAGAAGATAGTGTTTCATGATTCTCCAACTGCAGTTTGATTTGACTTTGGATTTAAGCATTTTATAGCCAATGACAGCTTTATATGCACACAAACAAATCCTATTAATACCAATAAAATAATATTGCCAAACTGAGAGATTGTTTTTTAAGTTTTCAGAGACAGTGCATTTCATAACATCACTGTAAAATACCTAAATAAGCCATAATGCATATTTACAGCGCAATAGAGATGTTAAGTCAAGACATCCTCAAGATTTGTGGGATGTGCAATTATAATTGAGGTTTTAGGAGCGTACACAGCACAATCTCACACACACGTCTCTGAGTAGTTTCACTACAATTTGTGACACACAGCCTCTAGCCTGTAAAAAGAGAGCTCTGCGCCTTATTCAAAGTATCTACGCCTGCATGCCAACAGGAATATTGGAAAATAATTAATTTTCAGTTGGCATACAAACAGCTTAGAAGGAATGTTTTTTTTTTTTTCAGAATAAGAACCACCTACTGAATAGTTTGTGCATGTTTATGTTGGCATTTTATTTTACTGCCAGACGATTGATTCTCCCAGGGAACACAAAGGGTTTCCATGCCGGTGACTTCAGGGAAGCGGGAGGATTTTCCAGTTCTGTTAAACCTGTTTCTGTGAAGTCCCTGTCAGCTCTGACTCTTGAAGCTATTATGGTGTCTCCAAATGTGCAGCTAAAAGGTCACCAGTTAACTACACTGTCAAGTTTTTTTTTTTTTTTCCCTTTTGAATGTGCTCAAATAAAAGGGACTAGGGATATAATAAGCAATCGCCAATCCAGCCTTGGACTCATTTTGATTTAAAATCAGTGACACCCCTGGTTAGAACAGATGCTAATCTTTCATTTCAGCCCCACTGGAGACACAGTTTCTTAGTTTTCATTTGTGCCAGACTCAGGGGATGCTTATGGGGAAGGAGACCTTCTGTCAGAGAATATTGTCCTCATTTTCTTCAACTTTATAAGGTTTGAAAAGGCAAACGCCCCCAATGAACATGAACACAGGTTGAGCCGAAGGCAAAGGGGACGCAGGAATGAGCAGTTCATAGATGAATGTTATGTGTGTTCAGAAAGGGCATCAATCATGGTCTGACTCTGAACAGGTGCACTCATCTGCTTGTTGATTGAAAGGTTAAAGTCTTGAGTCCATAAGGTGAACAGCAGAGTACAGGTTCTCAGTCTCTGCATGTCTCAGTCTCTAATTCAGCTGCTGAGCTGTGACAGGAGGCGGAGAGGCAAGTGACACCTACAGTCAGACTTGTTGGTGTTCTTGTTGGTGACACATACAACACAGTGTGTAACTAGATGGTTTTCCTGTGGAGGATCTTTAATAGTAGAAGCTCAGGGATGTGTGCACTCACTACTCTAACAAACACTCTAACAAGTTTTAGCTGAAATGATCCAGTGAGTTTGTTTTGTTTGCATCCTATACCAATAAGGCTTAGACTGGGGGGTATCAGAACATCCATCCTGAGATTTATCCCATACCATTTTTCACATTCTTATACCTAGACTTGAGTATCTGGAGATACTGAGTAACCAGCATTAAAAAATATATTGCTGGAAAAACAATGATTGCTGACATTTTGATTAGATTACATCCTACCTTTCTTTGGAGCCTCCCATACTTGTATTTAAAGCAGTTTTTACATCTGCAATCCTAAAAATATCTAGATTACTTGATGAGGACTGCTCCTGAAATTCTCCTGACCTGGCTGTTCACATATGCGCCTCACAGCAAGAGATGGTGGGAGTCTCCTCAGGCAAGACATGGCTTTTAAAAAAACGATGAGGAAATATAGCAGACATTTTCCTGCTACACAACGCTATAATGGGAAAATCTGCCTTTATATCAATGCTATGTGTAGTTCAACAGAATCAAATTGTCAACAAAAGAGCAGAGAAGAACATAATGGTGAATAGACCATATTGCAGCAGTTTAATCACGTGCATGGAGATCATTGGTGTTGTGCACAGAATATAACCCTCACCACCTCCTCCCATTGGCTTGAGGTGAATTCTCCTGATTATGTCCTGCTGCGTTCTCACATCAGCTCACTCTGACTTTCTGTGGAAAAAATACTAGGGGTCTGGCAGGAGAAACCCCGAGTGAAAAATTTGGCGGTTTGTGTTCACACATAGTTTTTCAGGAGTATTCTGTAAGTGTTAAAGCCCTATATGAAAAGCTGAGTTCCCCACCCCCCAGGACAGACAGGAAAAAAATGATACATTGCTTTCAAAAATATGCATTCATTTTAATAGTTTTCTTTTCATTGATAAAATCCTATCAGAGTATGCCTACACACTTGTTCTTACCAAAAGACCTTTATATATTTTTCCCAGTAATGTTTTGCACTCGACTTCTTTAGTCGAAACTATCATCAATTAAAGTCAAAATGTTCCTCTAATTGCTGCTCCCACTCTCTTATTAACTCCTTAGCACACTTGTTAACCTCCTCTCCTTTTGCACTCCCTCTTTTTTAAATTAGTTACAAAGTGGACCACACTTATTTGTTTTAACTTATCGATACTAAAGGTTCACCCTTTTTATTGATTTTATTAATTTATTTAACAGGGACACAAGCGATGAACATTGCTTCATATGCAAAATACAAAGTAGATGCCATGGTTGCAGGTCTCTAGCCATGGCTAATTTGAAACCCCTGTCCCTGGCAACGCTTTTGGGATTGTCAACAAAGGAGTAAAGACGTTATTACAGAAGCTACGTTTGTACTTGACAAATCAGCAACTTTTAGCTCTGCTCCCTCTGCCCGGATAGTCTCTGATCCAGAAAGTAATACCTCCCACGCAGGGATTTCTCCTAATTTTTCTAGTGCTGCAAAATATCAAACATTAATCTCGATCAGGATTTTTAGCTTTTCCCAATAAAGGGAAATGAAAGATTGCTACATTGAAGTTTAAAATGCATGCTCCACTCATAGAAAACCTTGCTGCATATATAATCTAGCACTTAATAAATTAAAGATTGATTGAGAAGTTTTGGTTTCACTGCAGTCTAAAGTTGCTTAATTTCTCTGAATGTTGTGCCTGCAGTCCAGAGCAAAAAATAAAAAAACAACAACAACTACAGACTGAAACGAAAATCAGACATCCAGAGGAAAACAAGCGAGAGCTGGTCCCCCTGAAGAGAAAATTAGCAGTTTTTGGAAGTACGTATGTCAAGTGTGAAATGACGAGTGAAAAGTGCAAGAGAGTCTGCTCTAGAGTCGTAAAACTACCGTGTTCAACCAACGGGAAAAAAAACACTACACACTTCTGTATGATCATTATTTTGCTGACAAAAAACAATAGCAAAACACACCTGTGTGACTACTAAACCAGTTTTAAAAGCTGTGAGAGGGACTATAATCTATCTTAAGCTTTGTCAAAACATGTGCCTTCATGAATGCAAGTTCAGCTGCCGCAACGGTAGACTCCACTCATGATATGATACGAGGACGATGTTGGGTTCACACACCAACACTGGGACTACAAACTCCACATGGTGGAAATCAGAACTGCACAGAAACTGCATGTTGTGGACTTCAAACCTTTTCTCCTGCTGGTTGACCCTTTAAAACAGACGTGTGCCTCTTATAGATTTGTGTGACTCATTTATTTACGGTAATTTAGTACCAGTTTTAGTGTCTGAGTTCCAGAGTTATTCCAAGTTATTGGTCCCTCTGGAAAGTTCCTACAGTGTAAACACCGTGAAACATTTGTCCTCCAGTCTTTTGGCTGAGTCTGACTCTTCTCATACAAGTTAAGGAAGTCCATGTTTCCCTTATAATTGTTATCCAGCACCGGTGATTGTTGGAGTTTGTTTAGTTACAGCTCTCAGTTTGATAGAGTGCAACCAGAGCTCTGACTGTACATACAAGGCTTTTAATTGTTCTTGCAGTGTCGATTGACTGATTGGAAATAAATCTGTAGAGGATGTGTACACTCTTTTACCAACTCACCCTTCCTCTCTTTACCTTCTAGGTGCAGCATCCTGACCAACCATCAGGCTGGATCCATATGTTTTTCACCCGTGATGATCAACATTTGTATTACATCCGTTGGATTTAAGAGTTTTCAGAAATTGGAGAAGGACCCAAACAATCCTTGAGATAGAAATGGCCCTGGGAGTCTTCATCCTCAACACATAAAGTGCACGCTTTTTCACATTTCATTGAGGTTATTTTTGCTCTGGAGAGTCTGAACCCTCGAAGGGATTGTTGCAAGAGGGCGTTATCCAAGCCTCAGTGCTCTCCGCTGGGGAAGGAAGCCGAGGGAAGGCCCTGGAGAAAACGGCCTTGGGAGGCCAATAGTTGCATAACTAACAGTCCAGTAAAGCAGCAGAACAGGGAGGGAACTGAGATGTTCTATGCGATCTGACTGATATATCAGATATGATGACTATCTATTCACTCTAATCGTAGCTCTTTCTCAAATTATTTCACGTACATGGATACTGATGGATGTTCTCCTGGGTTTTCCCTCACATGTTTCGGAAAGAACCCCTCCATCACTTCCTGCTTTTTGTCTTCCAATCACATCCCCGGTGCAACAGGCAGGTGAGCTGGTCTGAATCAGCCACCGACGGGGTTTAGGGATGCCCCGACACAGGAAAACCAGGCTGCTCCACTGGCCCGCTTACAGACTCCTGTTTCTAATACGAGTCCTGGACTGAAAGCAAATTGTCTCCTTCTCTGACAGAGAGCAGGAGAGAGGGGTTATTGTTTTTTTTGTTTGTTTTTTTGTTTTTCAAGACTTTTTCTCACATCAAATGTTGATCTGCCAGTGCGATAAATCAAATTTCATTCTCCAATAGCACCTTCATCTGCACTGCTTCTCTGATGAAGAGAGTCACAGAGGAAGAAAAATAGAAATCTCAGATTATTTCTTTCTCTTTTTCATTTCTTTGCAGTTGTTCTAAAACAGGTCTACCTCTCCTTACTCTGGTACCTCACTAAATTGCCAGTTATTGACCAATTCAATCAAACTGCATCAGTTAAATATCAGACTTTTGGCTCATAAGTTCACCTGTCCCTCAGTTTTAGACTCTCACACCACTGAACAACTAGAGGTAATTCTGTGTCTGCAAAGGGGTTTCCTTATCTATTTATATTTTACTTTTGAATGTCATCCATCTTTCGTTAATTGCACTATTATTATTATTCTTTCACCAAGCCTTTTATTCACACTGCTGTGAAATAAGCAGAACATCTTTTTAAACCCATAAGAATGATGACTTTTATATTTGCTTTCGTACGTAGTTGATGGAATCATTGAGTAGACAAGATTCAAACTGGTGGTCTGAATTGATCTAAAAGTCTTTAAGAGATTGGCCGGACTCCTATTCCTCTTCCCATCAGTGGCTTATTTGTTCATCCCACCTTCCCACCTGTTTTTTGAGCTGATAGAAAAACAAGGCCTTTACATGCAGAGCGACCTGTAAGCTTCTTTTAATCTGGAACACACACCCACAGAAGATCAGGATTGACCTAAGACAAGCTTCTCCTACTATCTCCGTGTTGTGATGCACAGGAGTGTGTTTGTCTGTTTTACATAAAGGACCCATCATCAACTATCGCCATATTTTTATTTTTTATTGCTACTCCATCGCCTCTACCCCAAATACCCATCAATAAACACTTTAAGAAACATTAAGCTCTGAATGAGATATCCCTTGGAGTAGTAGTAGTAGCAGAGCAGACAGCCACACAGCAAGTGATGCCAGGTGGGAGTAGTAAGAGTGGAGGGCGGGGTCCATCCTCCTCCCCCCTCCCCCACACCGTCGTCCCACCAAGCAGACCGTTGCGACCCTCCCGCTACGTCCCGGTGTCGGCGGCCACGTTCTTCCTGGTTGGCTCCACCACGCTTTTCTTCTGCTTCACGTAAGTGTCGAACACACATACAGGCCTGATTATCAACCCCAAAAAATACCTCACACACTGAACAATAGATTCAGTGAAACAAATAAAAACATAATAGAGAGAGGCTGTAATCAGGTGACTAGTCGGCCGTTTTTGCCAACAGCCAGTGTGTATGAAAGGTCATGAGAGGAACAAGGTTTTCAGGTGGTTTTACAGTTGAGAAGTTGAAGTTTAGATGCAAAACTTAAAAAACAAACAGTTTATTGCCATTTGCACAGGTACGGGACAATACAGGTCATTGGAAATTTTGTGTTTTTCCCTGAGTCAGCTTCTACAAAAAAAGTTTAAATTATATATAAAATAGAATAGCATTATAAAGAAGAAAAAAGAGTAGAAATAAAATAAATAAGTTGTAGGAACAGCTAAGTAAATTAAGATAAACTGTACAGAAGCTATACATTGTATTAAAGCAAATATATGATACAAAAAATAACAAAGGGCAACACTGTACAATGAAATGAAAATATAAATATGTTTTCTTGTGACAAAACCTGAAAACAGATATTTGAACTGAACAGTTTGTTTTCATGTATAAACAGACTTTTCAGGCTTTCAACCCCTTGAGTGTCTCTGCAGAATGCTAAGTCAACGGTGTTATAGACTGTCATCACTAATCTTGCAGACGCCTCGCTCTGGTGTGTGTGTGTGTGTGTGTGTGTGTTTGTTTGTGTGTGTGTGTGTGTGTGATAAGGACAAAATGTTGGTGAGCGCTGGAGTGTGTGAAGCAATGTCTGTCGGGGAAAAACGTGTACAATGTTTAAAGTGAGAAAGTCAGATTGACAGGTGTGTGTGTGTGCATGTGGGTATCTAACAGTGCTCGTATGGGAGAAAATGTAATGTGTGTGTGTGTGGTCAGCGTGGTGGGCAGTCAGCTCTGTGCTTCAGATTAGCGAGGAGAAAATAGGCCAACATCTGTCACTCTGACAAAAGCCCATCATCCAGACTCTCTCTGTTTGTTTCTCTCCGAGTCGGCCTATCGTCACTCTCTCACTCCCTACATGATAACAAAGAAACACCATGAGGGCCGTAAGGCTTATCATTTTGATAAGATGTCTTATTATGGAGTAAACAGATTGTCAAATACAATAAAATGGCAACTTAATGTCACAACAGCCATTGCAAGGATTATTTAATGCATTTTTTTAATAAAACGTTTTGATTCAAAATGTGACTTAATATCTAACATTTGTTATTCCTGCCGGATAACCAAACACTGTTTTGACTTGGATTAGGGATGTTCATAGCCACTCATTGTCCTGTGGATTAAACAACATTTTAAATTCAGAGCAGGCGGCTATTCTTATTCTGCTCAAATGTAAACTTATCTGTACTTCCTACTGATTTTGGTGTTATGAGCAACTGTGGCAAACAAATGTATTTCTCTTTCTGAAATTGAGCACAGTATATCGAACACGGCTAAACACGGGATCACATGCAGTGTCAGCAGCTAAATTATGTCAGGCTAGTGTTAGCACCGCCAGCCTCCGGTCCCCCCTGCAGGTTAATGTTCACATGGGAGCGGCTTTGGCTCAGTTGGTAGAGTCGGTTGTAGGGGTTGGAGGTTTGATCCCCAACACCTGCAGCCACATGTCCAATGTGTCCTTGGGCAAGACACTTAACCCCAAGTTGCTCCTCCTGCTTCATCGGTGGCGTATGAATGTGTATGAATGGATTAGTTACTTCTGATTGTCACTTTACATAGAAACCTCTACCATCAGTGTGTGAATGTGTAGGTGTGACCTGCGGTGTAAAAACACTTTTTTAATAGTTTAATAGAAGAGCGTTATAGAAGCTCAAGTCCATTTACCATGCCTGTCCCTAATGCAGCCACTGATAAAAGCTGATGTAGTCTCAGTGACGTCACCCATTGGTTACTGAAGAGGTGTTTTGAAGTACATTGATGTTAGTCGACATATTGAAAATGCTCTCTCAACCTAACTTGTGGTGAACCTAGTAAGAGGCAGAGAGGTAAAGCTGATCCTGAAAAATGCTGACAACACGTCCGGGCGTGGTCAAAATTAAATTTGCACAAACTAACCAAAATCAATATAAGACACTTACTGGATAGTTCATACAAAGGTCTTTAGGTCATTCATACATTTTTGACAAATGTGTACCACTATTTGTGTTGGTCTGGGGTAGGGCTGGGCGATATAGCAAGTTTCTAAGATATATCGATATATTTTCAATCGAGATAAAGGGTAAGACAATATTGTTAATATCGATATAGTTCATGTTGCATTAAAATAATGTTTTATACGTCTTCGGTAGAGCTGCCAGTTCACGTATTTATCATGTCACTGTCTCTCCCTCTTCACTTTGCTCCTCTCTCTATCTCTGAGCCAAACTCAACAAACTAAATGGTTAACAAAACAAACAACTGTGTTTACTTTGTTATGCATAAAATTAATTGACTTCACAAACAGGTAGTTTATTTTCATGTACATGTTGAAGTTGTGCAACTGACTGTTAATAAAAGACATATCGATATATATCAAGTATCGCCATTCAGTGAAAAACTATTGAGATATTCGTTTTGGTCCATATCGCCCAGCCCTAGTCTGGGGTGGAGTCGGGGAAAAAAGGTTTGCAACTCCTGCATTAATCCATATAAAGAAATTAAATAAATAAAGTAGTCTGAAAGTTTCCCACAATGCACTTTTTCATCCTGATGAGAAACATTTGCTTATAAACAAATGTATTTTATTCATGAGTCGTTTTTAAATCCTCAGATTACAATAGAACCACAGAATATGAAAGAATCTCATTATCGTTCATCCTCAAGGTGTCGAGGGCTTATCTTCTGCGTTTGTGTTTTAGTTGTCCGTGGCTGTCGGAGCGTTTCTCCGTAGCTGTGCCGATCTATAATGGAGTCATCTTCTTGTTTGTTCTGGCAAACTTCTGTATGGCCACATTCATGGATCCTGGCATCTTCCCCAGAGGTGAGTACATATACTGTTTGTGTGTTGCTGACCTGCACTGTGTTTACATTGTGCTAAATTTTTATCGTTTATATTTCTTGTTATATGATTCTATTTCTACAACCTTTTAAGTCGTTTTCTATTCAAAATGCCTTTAATGTCTAATGCTTTAATTTTACTCAGAAATGGAACATGAAACAAACACCGAGGTTGATGTTTCAATTAACGGTCGATATGAGTTGTGTGGGTTCATGTTTGTGTCTTCTTTTCTCGCTCTGTAGCGGAAGAGGACGAGGACAAGGAGGACGATTTCCGTGCTCCGCTCTACAAGACGGTGGAGATCAGAGGGATCCAGGTCAGGATGAAGTGGTGTTCAACGTGCCGCTTCTACAGACCGCCGCGGTGCTCCCACTGCTCCGTCTGCGACAACTGTGTGGAGGTGGGCTCACACTCACACTCACACATGCACATATCATCTATGTTCTTCAAATAGATTATATCAGCTGCTCCCTGTCCATTAAGAAAAATCAGATTTTAAAACCAGTGCAGTGTAGATATATCTGACTAAACTTTATCAGCAGTATGCCTTGAGGAGTGTGGGTGATGACCTGATGTGGCAGGACAGTTTGGGTGGATGTTAGAGAGCCTCTCTTCATCCTTTAAATGAACAAAACACTGACGCTAAAACAAGCAGCAGCACTTTAGAGACATTATACATCTGCAAAATGTTTCTGTAATGTACCCAAAGTGATTCTGGAAGGCTTCTAGTCCTGAGGCAGCACACATACATCGTTCTCCTAGTGGGTGCTTAATTGATCAATCAAAATGATCGGGCTATAAATAGTTGATATCAGTGCATCAAAAAACTATCTCAGTCTTTGAAAAAAGGAGTCAATGATCATTATCGCTTTATTTTCTTTGAGAATTCTATCAAAACGTGTATTATTTAAAAAACTGTCAATGGAGACTTCTGCACGACCACACTGATATTAAACATTGCAGCATAGGCTTCAGAAAAAAATAAATAATGTGATACATCTCAGTACCACAGCTTGATTACAAGTTCAAGTATTGAATAGAAAGCTTGTCATGTTAGTCCTGGTTCATTAATACTATGCGGGAATCATGCGCACGACCTCCAATCACTTTTTATTGTGAGAAATATCTGTTGTGTTTTTGACACTTCTGTAGTATAGCTTACAGAAAAGTCTTACACAAAAATCTTAACCTTCTTATCCATTTTTCATGTTCTGACAACAAATAAAAAGATGTCTTAAATCGATAAAAAGCACCACAAACTTCTAGTACACTCCTAGAATGGTAATACAGACCTACCCATAATGATTTAGAGTAGCAAGCCATGGGGGGAAAAGAAGCCAATCAAGGCTAAATTTAAGTAAACACATTTATTTATCTGGCTAAACACGGGATTACAGCATCTAAAGTAAATCAATGTCAAACAGGTTTGCTGAGTGTGTGCAATCATTCGATCAAAACATCAAACATGCCAGAAATTAATATGTACGACCGAAAATTTGGCCCGACTTCAAAATAAGATGTACGACTGTAAATCGGCCTTAAACCACACAGTGTCCACTCAGCTATAAGGGGACCTTTTTTGGTAATTTGCTTCTTGATGTTAATTAATGAAACTTAACTTCAGGTTGAAGCTCACATAGCCTGACATGTTCAAAGACAAAAAGGAAAGCAACTTTTGTTACAACAGTCAACAGGAGTTAAAGTCAAGTATCAACATAAATAATTAAACAGTTATGTCTGAGAGTTGGGCCACTTCATATGGTTGTGATGTGAATGTAAATTGCAGCTTTGATTCCCGACAGGATGAGAACAGCTGTTTTATGTTGAAGTTGCTACTCTAGTATTTTTTTGTAACAATGCCGTCTTTAAACATTTATAATGCAGGACTTCGACCATCACTGTCCGTGGGTGAACAACTGCATCGGCAGGAGGAACTACCGCTACTTCTTCCTCTTCCTCCTTTCTTTGACGGCCCACATCATGGCCGTGTTCGGCTTCGGCCTGCTCTTCATCCTCTACCATCGCCAGAACATCGACCGCCTGCACGCCATCGTCACGTATCCTTGTAGCATGTCTTTTTGAATAGTCCATTTTACAAAGTCTGTATGGTTCACTTAAATAAAAGCAACGGCGCCCGTGCATGTGAGTGAGGGGCGTGGCTTTAGAGGGAGCACAGAGGGGAGGGGGTGTAGACGGAGCACTGAGGGAATGCTACTTTCAAAATCATGCTAGTTTATTGAAAATTAACAACCCTGTCTTTAATATGGCCTGACAGGTGCCTTCTTAAAAATCTAGCTGCCTTGCATTTCTTTCATAAGGATAAATTAAATGGCTGCACTCTTGAGTTCACCTGTCATCTTCTACCCTCAATTCCTGAAGCTTTTCAACACCTGGTCATGTTGCCAAATATACTGACCTTGCGACAGACTAATCTGTCTCTTGCAGAAAATGCCTCAAAGTTTCTGTTTCTGAACACATCAGGTACGATGGGAAATAAATCTAGGGTAGTCTAGTGGTTAGTGTGTGCGTCCCGTGTGCGTCCCATGTACGGAGGCTGAGGTCCTCTTGGCGGACAGCCCCGACTCCGACCTGTTGATCCTTTACCTCATGTCATTTCCCACTCTCTCTCTCTCCCTTAGATTTCTGACTGTCTCATCCGTCCTGTCTATAAATAAAGGCATAAAAGCCCAAAATAAACCTTTAAAAAAAAAGAAATCCAAACATCTAACTGATATCCTTTTGAAGTATTCTCTGTGGTCCCTCATCTTTCTGTCTGGTCAAGACTCCTTGACCTGTGTGCTCTCAGGCTGGCTGTAATGTGTGTCGCAGGCTTGTTTTTTATCCCTGTTGCTGGTCTGACTGGTTTCCACATCGTGCTGGTGGCCAGAGGCAGGACGACCAACGAACAGGTAGGAAACAGATAAATCTTACGTTCAAGATTAAAAAAAGAGAAGCACAGGGACTAGAAAAGATACATTATATTCGTCTCTACTTTCTTTTTTCAGGTAACGGGTAAATTCAGAGGAGGTGTGAACCCATTCACAAATGGATGTTGGAAGAATGTCTCGCATGTCCTCTGCAGCTCTCAGGCACCCAGGTGATTCATTTGGCCTCTTAATGAACGATTCCTGTCTCTGGTTCATAGCATTACATAACGTTACAAAGGCATGTCTCCAACTGTAACTTATAAACATTCCTCTCAGACAAAGATCTAGATATTTGACTAATTTATCTGACATGATAAGTATAAGAATAGTGATGTATTAAATGCTCATCGATTTAATTTCTCCCTAACTGACTACTCAAGCTTCTGGTGTGAACTCCCGTTTGAGAAACATAGGGCCGGTTTTTTTGAGGGTAGGATTTCCAGGTCTAGAGCTGCGACTAATTACAGGTCATGATTCCTTTACATTGTTTCCATATTTTTTTCCTCAAGTTTTATTGAATAAAAGCAAACATTAAATATACAGAGCAGTTTAATGCAGACTCAATGGTCACAGTTTAAGGAAGCAGAAGTGCTGCAAGACAACTATTGTAACCTAGCAACAGGAAGCAACGTTGAGAAGCGCTCTGAAATTGAGGTTGTAGACGCTGCCAGATGCCGTTAGTGGACACAGGCCCTTCTGCGCAAAAACACCAAGGCAGATTTTTTATTTGAAAACCTGCAAAAGTTGCACTGCTGTTAAACAGCATGTTAAATACTCGGTTAGTGTGTCAAAACATTGAAGAAAGAGATTCTAAAAACTGTACCTGTGATCCCTGCAGGTATCTGGGCAGAAAGAAGTGTGTGCAGAGTGTGTGTGTACAGCCTCCTTTTCTGCGGCCGCAGCTGACAGAGGCCCAGCTGGCCGCAAAGATTCTGGACAACGGCATCCAGGGAGACCTGCACCGGGTAAGATCAGTAGGACCGGGCGCTCAGAGGGACAAACTTACCAAGTGTCATTAAATACACCTGTTATATATCACCATGTCTTTTCTTTGATAGAAAAGGACTCTCTTTTACATGTTGGTAGATGGATGTTATGCAAGTGTGCTGTTTTCATTCAAATCTGTGCCAGGTAGGTTTGCATATAGGCAGGGCCAGATGGCCGCAGGTAGTTTAACGGCTGTTTGAAATTCAAAAGCCAGAAATCTGGTAAGGTCACATGAGTAAATACAACCACAACTATCAGTGCAGACAGTCTGTAATGCTGCTTCACAAAGAAGACAGAAAAACAAGACAGAGTGCAGCGCGGGGTTGTGTAGGTTCAAACGTAGTTAACACTCTACTAACATTTAAGATGTTTCTGCAGCTGAGACATTTCCTACAAAGGCAGAAGTTACACCTTAAATATTACACCTAGCTCTGAGTAGGTGTAAAGTCCTCTGTAAAATACGGTTGTCATGGTGATGGTTGTGAAAGGTGGGATAACTTGGAGGATGAGAAGGAGCAGAGAGGTTAACTGACTGTGTCAGCAGGGTGTTCACCGTGATGGATTACACCCCTCAGAAATAAATGATGACTACTGATTTGTACTCCTGCTTTCAGAGATAATTTCCTCAGTCTAATAACGTAGTACAGTTAAATTACCTTTTGTTGTAGTTGAAAACGCCGCTTGACATTACTGTAATGTTTAAGGTTGCAGTTTATTTTGTTGAAGCTTAGGCGGAAAACAGGAGTCCACATTCACCGTCTCTGTGAGCTAAAAACTGCAAACTGATTGACTGTTGTTGTTTATTTATTTGTGAGATCAGTCGTTAGGTCTTGTCATATGGGGTTGAATATGGTCAATGTTCTTTAATTGTAAGAGACAGGAATTTTAACCCAGAGCTAGATCTTTTCTGGTGGCCATCTTTCAGTCAACAATGTGACTTCTTGACTTTGATTTCGTCTCTGTCTTCTCTCTTGTTTTCAGTCTAAGTCCAGTCTGGAGATGATGGAGAGCCAGTCGTGTGACGCCGAGCCTCCTCCTCCTCCGAAACCGGAGCTCCGCTACCCCGGAATCACCCGGGGGAACACGGAGGGTAACCCCACCAACCTCCTAATCCAGCTCTTTGACTTTTACAAACAATCTGTACTTGAGCATTGTCTGAAACATCTCTCTCCCCCTCCTCCTGCAGAGTGCAGTCTGCTGAACAAAGCCCCTCCCACTCCGACCATGTACAAATACAGGCCCACCTACAGCCCCGGCAAGAACCACACAGCGCTCACACATGCTTACGCTAATCAGGTAACACACACACACTCACACACACACACACACACACACACACACACACACACACAAATCACAGCAAGGTAATAAACAAGGACAGTAATCATCAAAACTCATGTTTTTTTTGTTTGTTTTTTTCTTTTTGATTTCCTGTCGACCATCTTCATTTGGTTTCTCAGTGGCTTTCTGTTGATCAGTATCAGTAAGTGATTGTTCTGGAAGCATTTTTTTCCCTCTCTTGTCACGACTTTGTGTCCGCGCCGCTGTGTGCTCGGGATGTGGGTAAAATACTGTTTGAATACGTCTGTAACTGTCAGCGATATGTCAGTTTGGACCAAATAAAAGAAAAAACAAGACTATAAAACGGACGCAGAGAAAATTAATTTGGTTAGTTTACATCAAAGCCTTGTGTGGGTAGAGGTCTTCATGGGTCTCAGGACCCTAAAACAAGAAATCAGACTCCAGACCCAGGTCTATGATGTTCTACAAGATCAAGTTAAAATCGATCTATAAAAATCACAGATCTATTGACCTATCTAATATGATCACTTTTGCAGCTAAAAAGCTTTGACTTCCATCTTTAGCTCGTTGTGTTGTTCAATGTCGTCATTGTTATTGTGGTTACATTCTATTAAACATGCAGGCTGTAGGGGTCAGCAGGAATTGTGCAGTGGGGGATGGTTGTTTCCATAACCCTGTTTGGAAATGATCTAAAATAGAATCAAGGGATGACCCACTCTGACGATACCTGGGTTTTGATCTTTTGGTTTTGACCTGTGAAGACCTCTAAAGCCTTTTACAGTGACGCTGGTTCCCCCTCAGTATTTCTACCCACATCTGGTTCATCTCCTCACACCTGTCAGCCCAGCTTTCTGTGCCGTTTTCTTTTGTTTGGGTTTCATTCATTTCTCTTTAGTTCTTTTGTGTGTTTGTTTCCTTTTCACTTTGATTCCTCCTCCCTGATTAGAAACGTGTCTCCTGTAGATTCTTTACAAACATCTTGTTCCCATGTAGCTCAGGTATGTTACCAAATTCAATTTACCGTCAATTTTTCCCTTTAGTACTGTCCTGCGACTAAGTTTTGTTCTTTAGTTTTGATGTTTCAGGCTCTTCTTGCTGGTCAGGTATGGACAACAAACACATCTTGATGCCTCAGATAAAGGCTGACTATCGCCCCTACAAATTAAACTGCTTAGATATGAGACGACTCAAAAAAGATCAACTTGTTTCTGTCTTTTCGTCATTTATGGCTTTGGAGATGGAGACGAGCAGTGTACGAGAAGTTTAAGATAAACTTTGTTGTCATTGCTTCTTATTAAAGCACATCAACGGATACTTAACCCTGAGTGACAATACAACATCGTTATTCATAAACCATTGTAATCTACAGTTTTTTCAGAGCATCATTGCACCAAAAAGAGGAATGGAAACCTTAAAATATTTCAAATTAAAGTGGATAGAGAAAGAACCAATGAAATGAATCTTATTTTAATGTGTAGACATACTTTTAATCAAGGCCTTCATCAGGATAAATGATTGACGAGTGATGCCATCACACTGGCAACACCTGTGATGCCGGTCCAGTAACTTGGTTGAGAGCTTGGTTTTAAGATTTTAAACTGCAGAGACTTTGTTTCTCAATTTCGTTTTGTTTTAGATCTTTCGTAAGCTTTATGAAAGTTTACATGTTGAATATAAAAACATTTATAACATTAAAATGAAGCACAACAGTATGAGTTCTTCCAAAGCCGGCGCTGAGTTGTTGTGTTGACATGTCACCACTAGAGGGAGCTCAAGCTTTGCAGAAACTCAAGGTGAAGCGCCCACATTGCTCTTTCCTCCTTTTTGCTCAGCTTCTTGTTTCTTTTCCCTCTCTCTGCCCTCCTCTCTTTACCCCCCTCCCCCCTCCTCCCTCCTGCCTCCTCCACCTCCTCACCCTGCCTCCTCCAGTTAAGTCGAGGGGAGAGCGTTGGCAGTGCCAGAGATTCCTCCTCATCCACCTCCTCCCTCCTCCAGTCCAGCCAGCAGCCTGGTTTCCGCTCCCAGCCCAGCCTGGACCGCAGGGACACTTCATCGGACAGAGTGGGAGGGGGAGGAGGTGGGGAGAGAAGGGAGGCAGGGAGAGAGGTTGGAGGAGGGGGTATCCCCGGCTACACCCTTGGCGGACGCTCCTATCCTTCCTTCTCCGACCCCACCGTTCTGTCAGGAGTGGCGTCGCGATCTTCAAGCTCCACGCACACCTCGGCAGGTGCAGCACACGTCTCCGAGGCAACAACCACTTCCACCAGTTTCAAGAGCTTAGCCAATCAGACCCCACCGCCTCATCACCCGTCACGCAACGGGAGCCTGTCATATGACAGCTTACTGGCAGGTGGGGAAGACTTAGCCAAAGGGGTGGTGGCTGGTTCAGCAGCCCCTGAGGTTCCCTCTGGTAGACCCTGTACGCCAGCATCAGGTGGCTACACCTCCCCCTTCCTGTCGTCGCAGCAGAGAGGAGCCGAGATGCACTCCCAGACCTCTCAGTCACCCCACCACCGCTCAGCCCACCAACACCATCACCCCTTCCTCCATCGCTCGTCCTCCTCGACATCCTCCTCCCCGCCTCCTCTTCTAGAGAGGGAGCGGATGCTGGGAGAGCCACAGCCTGGCGCTCATCCCCCATCAGCCAATCTAAGCTCTGCTCCCCCCTCCTCTTCTGCCCCACCTCTCCCACACCATCATCATCGCCACCATCACCACCACCACCACCACTCCCATCATCACCACCACTCCTCCACCTCCCGCCCTCCACGCTTTGCTCCTCCTCACGCACCGCCACACCACGCTTATCCCTACCGCACCCGCTCCACAGACACCCCACTGGGCTCCTCCTCCACCTCCACCACCCACCCTCCCCGCTCCCCGCATCCTCCACCTCTGGGCAAGTCACTGTCTTATTCGAGTGCTGCTGCCGCCGAAATGCAGTACAGGCTGGTCCGAAAGGCCTCTGCGTCAGCTGGAGCGAATGCAGCGGGGGTAGGAGGAGGTGGAGGGATGGGAGGAGGAGGAGGAATACAAGCTCCGAAGTGAGTATGAGTTTCGCCTTTTGTCAGGACGACTGGTTTGCTGCTAACCCTGAAAAAAAAACACCCGCCCGCCTGAAAAACCTGACTACCTGATTGACTGCTCCTCCTGCTCCTCTTCCCTTCTCTCCTCCTCCTCCTCTTCCTCCTCCTGACAGATTTCCTGTGAGTTCCTCCTTCTTCTCCCTCTGCTTGTCTTGCATTTGTTTTTTCACTGAGTAAAGATGTTATCTGCATGCTTGTATTTGTCCTCCTTCTGTAAAAGGCTGAAGGCACAGATTGACTGATTATTATTATTATACAGCAGCTGAATAGATGTGTATAGAATAAACTGATCAGATTCTGTCCATAGGAAACCTCAAAGTTCTAAAGAAGAAAATTGAGTTGCCTTTATTGCACTCAGAGGACAAATTAGGATGTAAATGTAGAATACATCAATCCAGGGTTTGCAAAAGTCTTGGCAGAAACATAAAACACATGTTTACATAATAGCCTGTAACAAATGGATTCAGCCGCCTGATCTTACAAGTGATGCCAATTTGAATGTGGCTTTCATAATGCATTCCTTTTAGTGTCCAGCAGGGGGATTCCGACCTTTTTCCAGGTGCCAAATAAGTATCCAAACTGAAACAAGAAAGGGAAAGTCAGGCGTTTACTTACAAAGCTGACAACTGGGTAACCTCACCCCCACGCTCCCCTTCACTTCCACCCCTGTCTTAAAATATGATCAAGGTGTCAGCAGCAGAAAATGCCAAACAAAAGCCATGAGATTGTGTCCACTTCCTTCTTACAGTTTATGGTCAATATCAATGTTCTTCTAATATAAAAAAAAATACATTCATATCTGACTTGATATTCAGATAATCACATCAGATATGATATGAGGGAAACTTTTCATGACACTCTTTGTGTGTTTCTTCAATAGACTGTATAAATAATGGACAGCAGAATACCTCAGCTCAAGTGAAGCCAGAAGATTTAGAGCTCCCCCTTCTGACCGTTCACAGCATAGGTCATTAACCCCACCTCTCTTTTTCGAACCCAGTTTCAACATGAGTTGAAGTTTCTCTTTAATTTGATGCTGTAAAACGGTTTGAAATGCTTCTGATAATTGGCAGGTGTGTGCACCAGATAATCAGAGTACAGCAAAAACTGGGAGAGGAAACATAACTTTTGAACACTTTTCTTTGATGTTTGACTTTTTATCAGTAAGTCAAATCTATTTTTTGGTAAGCGGAAGCAGCATGAGCTCAATACTGCAGCTCTTCCAGCAGATCACTACTGTGCAGACTCTGCTTGCAAATTTCCAATATTTCACCTCCCTGCCCCGGGATACTTTGGTTTCATCCTGTTCAACAGGAGCAGGCTAAGGCATACTGTCCATTTGTATATACAGTCTGTGGTTTCTTCACATCCTTTGCAATATACAAGACTTTCTCATTTAGACTTTTGCATGATAATCTAATTGATTTTGTGACTTGGGGTTTGCTTTTCAACTCTGCTCAGGGTTTGCTTTGTCTGCAGATATTTCACAGCTGCATGGCTTGAGTGTCCCGAATGAGAATGATGTGTTCACATTGTGAATGTGTTTTAAATTCAGATTTAACCAACTATAAAGGTAAAAAAAAAAAAAAATCCAAGAATACTGGATTTTAATTTTTACCTCTGCAGATGTGACAGGCAGCTGTTGCCTTTGGCGTTTTGTGGTTTGGTCCGTCTGTTTGCATGAGATTCTCCCTCCAGGCCTGATATCTTATGCAGGCCTGGAGAGATTATCGTAAACTGGTACAAACGTTAATTTAGAATTAAAGATGAAGTGATTATATTTTAATATCATGGGGTAACTTTGACCTTCTATAAAAATGTATCCAACCCATTACTCAAGAAGTCGTTAATTATTGGTGACATATTTCACACACAAAGTTAATCAAAAGGATGCAAACAAACATCGGCCAATCTGCAAATAATGTAACATGCAACATTGTGTCGCATCGATTTTAAAGCTAGTGAGCTTTTGTACAAAACTGCTGATTATCTAAATCTTTAATTGGGCAAAAAAAGGTCACCTGTAAGATGTGACAGTTAAAGACGAGGGACTTAAACAAATTAAATACATCAAAGCTCATTTGAAAAAAGACAGAGAATAACAAAATCCCTGTGTATACCTTACATAAGCATATATCCTGGGTGATCTGATTACAAGTGATATCATCAATGCAAGGTGGGAACAAACTGTGATACATCCTGAGGACAGGTTGAGATCCGACAGCTCAGACTACATACGGAGGTGGTGTAACATGCATTCATTCATATTGGTTTAAAAGTGAAGACACTGATGCATCGTGGGCAGCATTAGGACCAACCTGTACCATGTAAACAATGACTCATTCAGTCAGGCACTTATTTACATGTGAGGCAGGCAAGTGAGATCCAAATTCAAAGGAGACGGGTTGTTAATGCAAAATGTAAATGCCTGTACTTCAATGATATCCAGTTGTTGTCTGATTACCCAGGATTGATTTTAAAGCGAGGTATAAACATGGCCAAAGATGTGAAAAAATGAAAAAAACGTGATTAAAAGCAGCATTGATTAAATTCTTATTTCAAATATCCGTCTTTGCATTCATGAACTGCACTTCCTGTCATGAATAGAAACACACTTTATATCTTTGCTGTATTTTTCTAAAATCAGGGATGAGCTGATCCAGATGAACCATCTGAGTCGGACCAACGGCAACCAGCCCTTCTCCCCGACCTACTCCTGCTCCGCCCCTGCCTCTCCCTCCCACCCGATCGGCGTGTCTGCCCGGCCCGGACTGGCCTATCCGAGCTCGACATTGCTGCAGAGTCCCGCCCATAAGCCCCAGGGCAGTGGGGTGAAGAAGGTGACGGGCGTTGGGGGCACAACCTATGAGATTTCTGTCTGAGTGGCCGCTGCCCGCCTGCCCGCCTGCCCGCCTGCCCGCCTGCATAAAGGACCAATGAGAAGAAGCTAAGATGCAGCCATCTCTCTTTGACATGGAGGAGAGATAAAAAAAAAAAAAAACATAAACATAGACATCTATGGATGCGTTGAACCATATTGTCCAGATCTCTCTCCTTGTTGGCCGATAAATGTGGAGCTAAAGTGAACTGAACCCTCATAGCTCCAACTTAAAAACTGCACTAAAGATGGCGGTTGGAGCCAGGACTCGCTAACTCTGGGCTGTGACAGACTTCTTTTTTTTTTTTCTAGACCAAACAGGAATGAGGATTTGGCTAATTTTTGATGGTCTTGTCCTCACTGTAGCTCAGCAGGTAGCACAGGTAGGTCTGGGTCTTACATTATACAAGTACAGCAGCGCAATGCGTAAACACTGCCAGGGCGAGGAGCTCGACCCCCCCCCCCCCCCACCGGGTCCAACAGGGAGTTCTGGATTTACGACGGCTCATATATGCACTTTGGACTTGAGCTGCATTAGGTTTAAAAAAAATAAAAAAAAGGTGCGGATGTTAATATGTCATCATTTTCATGCTCACATTTAGAACACAAAAGCCCGTCATGAAGACATGATAACATGTAGCCCGATCAAGATCAGAGTAACCATTCGAAGTCGAGGGCTGCCCACTGACGACCAGTGAACTAAATGTGATCAGTCGGATCAAATCAGAGCACATCTTGTTTTTACCTACGAGTAATTAAATCCCTGACATGTTAAGACAGAGCCCAGTTCAATCAATAATATAATTCCCCTTTAATCTAATTAAAGGCCCCGATCGTCGGTTACTTTGAAAAATAGCGTCTAATAAATATAGTGGGGTGAGATTGCATTGTAGTTTGTGTTCAGGTGTTGTGTGATGCATGGAGTCGGTAAAAGCCCAGACAGGATCCCTGCAACCTGTCGTCCTCCTTCACAACCTTCCTTTTCATTTGGAAACCGCACAACACGACAAGAGGTCGATAATCAGGCACTGAGCAGGATCCACTCTGGACTCGTGACAATCGACCAGCGGCAGAAAGGGGAACGATACCCATGAACTTCTCGATTAATCGATGTTGCTGCGTGATGTGACTTTTTGCCTTTTTGACCGAGGGATGAAATGTGACAATGGGGGGGGGGGAGAGAAAAAGACGTCATCATGCTGATTCCCTGTTTCTTTGATTCATTTGTTGATAAATTCTTAGATGTGAATATGATTCCATGTTTGTACAGGATGATGTGGTTTTAAATGTGGATTTTCTTTTCTTCTTTTTTTTTTTCTAAGTGGCTGCAGCATGCACTACTATTACTTCGAGCCACTGTAGGCCGCTGTGTTCTGCTGTGTCTGTTTGAACAAACACCAAGTGAGGAAACTAAAGTGAACAAGGAAATCATGTTTTGGCCTTTTGTCGTTGATGCGGTCCTTAACGAGGCAGATTTTTTCTAGAAAATTTAACTCCTCGAGCGATTGCCTTGAGAAATTCAAGTGTTTTTTTTTTATGTCACCTATTTAATTTGAAATTGTTTTATATGAATTTGTATGGAAATATAGTTATTGATAAATGAAGAGTTTTTAATGTCGACTCAAAGAAAGGTTGTGTTGTCAGACTCAGCATAAAAAGAGCCCTTCTGATTGGTTGAAACTGAACTGTCTTATAAATAAGTTGTCTGCCCTGAGAGTCCGGTGGTGGTTATTTCAGACATTAAAGAAAGAATATGCGATTTTTCACTTAAATGTAGCAGAAATTAAGTAAATCCTCTGAAAATAACTGAGTCATGACTGTCTACAATGAGTGTGACACCCGAGTCCCACTGTCTGTGATGTTTTCCGAGCCGTATCTACAGTGTGTTTACATGGACAGGCCGGCCGGCCGGCCGGCTCATCCCCTTGTGTATAAAAGTTGTTTAATTGAGGGACAAGAGAGAAGAAGAACATACTGTACTCACTGCTTAATTAAATGTCATGTAAGCGTTTCTAGATCATGGTCATTTAGTTTAAATTTACAATTTAGCATAATAAAGAGCGCTAGCATTAGCATGCTAACACAACAATTCAGCGCGAGTTGTTTTGGTTTCATGCTGGTGCTCAAGGGCGACATCTGCTGGATCAAAAAGTCAAATATTCTTCCTTTAAGGACATCTCCACAACACATCCAATCCGCGACATGGATTATTATTTTTATTTTGTCTTGTCACGACACCGAACAAAAAGAAGTCAAATGTAAACACTGCGGGAAAAACTGTTGGCAAGAAATGCAAGTTATTTATATTCTGCTGTTTAAGAGAAGTTAATGTCTGCTTTAATAGTTGAGCATATTTACAGTAGAGACCATGTCAGTGAACGATGAGCGCAAAAATCAAGAACAAAATAATCTTATATTAATCTTCGAGGTTCAATGTTCAGTTAATCTTGATATTGATTTGAGGTCGTATCTCCCTATCCCATCGTAATCAGATTTAATTATTCTGTTTTGCTTCTTGACCTCGTCGAGGGAGGTTTGTGTTTCTGTTCACACTTCATTCAAACCCTGTCAGGAGAATGATGGCAGTATTTACACGCTTCATCATGTGCACATTTTTTTATTGCATGAATAACAAAAAGAGGCCGACTTCTCCGAGGTGTTTTCAGCAGATTTCTGTCACAAATAGTACGTTTACATCAAAGCCTTGGAATAAAATGCAACATGACCAGTGTGTACAATACATAATAAAATTAACAGTTTTAGTTACAAACTCAGGAATAAAAGGAAAAAAATAGAAAAAAGAAAATATGACAACAATGGAATAAAAATACATTAGGAATGTTAGAGACAAGAGTGGGGAATCATTGTGCATTAATCGAATATCTAAAACAACTCTTTAATTGGTCCAAAGTAAGTAGTGAAAGAATCTGAAAATAACAAACATGAAGGAAACATGATTTTAAAAAGTACTGCATTGGAATGAGATGTTTCATTAGGACCACAGTTCAGTTTGAAGCTGCAAACATGCCGTCAGTTCATCATGCTGCTCACGTTACATTTGGGCAAACAAGAAATGCAACCCGTTCAGAATTAAAGATAAATCACAAAAAGGTCTCAGCTAATTTCCACATTCTCTGTGCACACTGCGGTCCATCAGCGCCGCGCACTACGCCGCCGTTTGCTGCCACTCCAGTCAATGGTTTTTTTTCCACAGCGAGCGCCGCGTTCTGCTTTGTTTCAAATACGCTGGGAGTGTAATTGAACAGAATAGAGCGACCCAGGTAGGAAGTCAGACAAGGAAACGCACAGAGCGTCCAGTAAGTTTCAAAATAAAACACAATATACGGACCTCAGAAAGACAAAGTTACATATTATTTCTCTTTATTCCCGTGTGATCTTGTAGTTGCTGCTCATGGCTGCGCTCACGCTCCAGAATCAGACTCAGTGGGGCGAGGCGCACGACATCCGACCGAGCAAAACCGTGGCACTGACTGAACGCAGCTTGCACAAATTATGTGGAAATTGGCAGTTAAGGGATGAAAGCAGACAGCAAACGGGTTCATTATTAAAGAAGCAAATAAAATGAATTTAAGAAACAATGAGACAAACAAAAGGAGTGTGAATCAGTCAAATTTGATTAAAGTTGAGGCAGAGCCGAGTTTAGTTCACGACAGCAGAAAAGAGACGCTGTTCGACTATTCCTTTAATCTGGGAGTTCTCAACCTGAAACCTCTTTATACTTTTTGTTTTAGGTGAGCAAGTCGTTCATTTGTAGAACTTCTTCAGCCTGCCGCCATGAAACAGGCTGTAACAGCTGCAACGAAATCCTCAGATGAAAACGAGGTGAGTTATTTTCTATTAAGCTAAAAAAAAAAATCTCTTCTTCGACTTGTGTCAAGAATTTGCTTCAATATTTCTCTGATCCCTCCCGAACACTGTGGTTGAATACTTTACCATAACGGCACAAAGCGTACTCTCTCTGTGTGTGTGTGTGTGTGTGTACCTTTGAGTAACAGGATCATTTACAAAAACACAGTTAATCATAGAATAATTACAAAAAAAATCTACTCAAAATTAAATTAGTTGCATAAAATAATCTGTATCAGAAACATTAAAGTAGCTTCACATTCATTGCTCCCTTTCAGTAAAAACCTCCGCTCACTCAGACTTCACAGCTTCATCAGGATGAACGTGCGGAGACGACTCAGACGAGAGGGCTGGACTACAGGACACGTTCACCTTCTCCAGACCGTCTTTGAGGAATCTGGATCAACAAAGCCTGAAGCTCCAGTTAGAGATAACGTATCATGAAGCTGGTTTTTACCCATCTTTGTTAGACTTTGAGTTTGACTAGTATCGTAACCTGCTTCGTTACCATAGCAACACAAATAGAAGTCCGATAGGCACCCAATATGTTGGACATGGGTTCAAACTATATAATTCAAATTTATGTCAGAAGCATTTTTTCGCAAGCGTGGTTTCTGTATTAAGAGTCACTTCTAATGCCGATTTATGTCAGTGTTAATTTTTCCATTATTGATGCTGTAGAAAAGATGTATGATGTCATGATTGACAGCTCTGTTAACAAATGAGGCCCCTGAAGCACTGCGTGGGATTAGAGTGGAGGAGGAGCGGTGAGAGGAAACACTAACATAAGAGTCGTTAGTGGAAGCTGCGTGATGTCATAAAGCGACTCCAGCAGCTGATTCCTTACTGGGCAGACTTTGACTCCGAGTATTTTGGCTTCACTTTTGTTCAACAGGTTCAGATGCATCGGCCATTTTAAAACATTAAAGTGTTTTATCTCCTTTGCATCACAATGCGAGCGCATGAGATTCCTGATGCACACACTTTGATCTACGCTAACTGCACGGCCTTCTTTTGTGGCGTTATTACCAGGAATGTCAATGGGAAAATGATGAATGAAAAACAAGAGAGGAGCCAGCTTCATGATACTAAAAACTCTGAACACTAATTTACCCATTAGTCTCACTTCGTAGTCCAGCTCTCTGATCTGAATGTCTGCACTGCACGTTTCCTGGTCTGATGTTGAAACACTGGACCAGGCTTTAAAATGACACCCTGCTGCGAAGTCTCCAGCTTGCTCCTCCGCTAAAGTGTTCTATTTGTTTTCTAATGACGAGAAAGATAACGCAAGGTCACTGCAGCTGCACCAAGGTCGAGTTTTTTTTTAAAGAAGGTTTAGAGGAAAATGTTGCTGAAGAGAAACAAGCAAATAATAAAACAACAGTCCGGGGACTCTGACAGGTCTGAAACAAAAAAAATATGAAGGTCTGGACTTTTCTTTTGTTGTGATATTTCCAGTAAGAGGAGAAGGAGGAAGAGGAGGAGGAGAAGGAGGAGGAGGGGGAGGGTTGATCGATGGTGACATCAGTCTTATTCTCATTCAAACAAACGGAACACTTTGAAGAGCAGCCACATGTTTTTATCCAGAACAAGTCCGAGGTGAAAGACACGAACCGTCTTTATTTGTCCTTCTTGGACTCTGGCTCCTCCTCCTGGGCATCGTCTACTTGCTGCTCTGGCTCCTCCTCCTCGGGGACCGGGGGGAACTGTGATTGGCTGAGCTTTTCTCCTTTGTTCTTGTTGAGCTTCTTGGACTTCTGGTACAGTTCGTTCAGGTTGAACTCTCGGATGATGTTCTCCTGATGCAGCGGGACAGAGACAGTCACTGATGTGAGTTACTTTGAATTCAAAAAGATTTCAGAATTAGGTATCAACAAAGTTTCAGTGCTGACTCTTCTGTTACTACCTCTTCCTATACTAATGTCACTAAGAATAATTCACCCACTAATGCCGTCAAAAGGTGTACAAGACACACTGTTACTATCTTTTTTTTCTCATCTAAAAAGTGAGCTGCGTCCTATATACAAGTATAAAATGCTGAGAGAGGTATTTAATGGTGCTATTATCTGCAGCTGCCTCCGTCACAGACTGCACGAGATCTAACTTGATGAAAAATACATTCATCGAGTATTGCAAGCTGTGCCGGGGTACATATTTACACAGACGAGGCTGGTGGCACCACTTCTTATCACCTTTTCTCCCTCATTAGGTCATAATCCAGCGGTTAAAGAAAAAGGTGGTATACCTGTGAGTGAATAAAGATGTGGAGTGCTGGTTTGATTGATAAGACTCCTCAACTAAAGAGGTGGGCAGCACGACTCTTGGCAACTCGGTTGCAGGTCCATTCTTCTCAACTTTCATTGTTACAGTAGACTGAGAGCGCAATACCGTACAGGGTCGACTTCACTGAATGCAGTGGATATCATCACACAGGAAGGCATCGAAAACCTGTCTACCTATCATTCTGTGTGACTCATACCATGCCGCTGATAATAAGTAATATTCATATTAGGAATATAAATGCCCTCCTGTGTAAACTGTATAAGCAGCTAATAGCCCTAGGATTATTTCACTGTTGGTCATAATGGTGGTCCTTGGAGAGCAAAATATTTTGAGGTGTTTAAACATCATTCTTCAAAAGCACCTGAGCCCCTTTAAATGAGGCTGAAAACATCTCTAGAATGAAAGGTTAGCTGGAAATTAATGAGACACAGATCTTAAGTTTACTGTCCAGTCTGACCTCAGTGAAGCTCCATGACACCGCTCTGCACTTCTTGTCCACCTGGGGGCGCCGCATCACCTCCTTCCCCCCCTGAAACAACACCAGGGAGGGGAGCTGTTTGGACAGC